TCCTGCGAGCTGAGCGGTCGCTGGTATTCAATTCCATTCCCGGGCATGTCCCACGTCCTCAGGCGGCGGCGTGGGCAGGACGCCCCCAAATGGGGGCATCACCGCCTTTCCTAGGCGACTCCAGGGAGCCCGCCCCCCGGCATTCCGCGCCTCAGGGACACCACAGGAACCAGGCCATGCCGCACCAGGCAGCCTGAGTGCACTGCTGGCCTAGACCCAGAGTTCCAAACCTCAGGTCCCTAGCCTGCCGTTCCCCCCAGCCTTCCGGACCGCACCCATTGCCCAGAATCAGGAGCCTAGCCTGCACAACTCCTTTGCCGCCAGGTGGGGAAGAGGAAAAAGAAGAAAATCCTGAGCAGAGCTGAATTCCTGCTGAGCCGGTCTCCAGGCCTTGGGACAGCGGGCGCTCATGGCCTGGTGTCATCGCGGGCTAAGGAAGGACCTCCGAGGCCGACAGCAGCCTTCCGGACCGCACCCATTGCCCAGAATCAGGAGCCTAGCCTGCACAACTCCTTTGCCGCCAGGTGGGGAAGAGGAAAAAGAAGAAAATCCTGAGCAGAGCTGAATTCCTGCTGAGCCGGTCTCCAGGCCTTGGGACAGCAGGCGCTCCTGGCCTGGTGTCATCGCGGGCTAAGGAAGGACCTCCGAGGCCGACAGGCGGTCGGCAGTCGGGCTCCAGGCCTTGGGACAGCGGGCGCTCATGGCCTGGCGTCACGGCCGGCTAAGGAAGGACCTCTGAGGCCGACACGCGGTTGGCAGGCTCATGACTGCAGCCCAAGCCAAGTAAGCACGCCACGCTCTGATGAAGGAGGAAGGTCAAAGGTTATACAAGATTGACAGATCCTTAGCCCAGTGTACCAAAACCAAGAAACAGCACCTCCAAATAAAATCAGAGATGAAACCTGAAACACCACAACAGACACCAGGAGGGTCCACAACATGAAAAAGGAATACCTTAAAACCTATACACTCCTTCCTAAAACCTACAAGAAATGGACAGTAATCAAACAGCAGGGGAATCACAAAAACTAAACCTAGAAGTGATGAAAAGCTTAAAAGAACCTGGAACACATGAGGAAATTGAAACAGTAATACAGACAGTTCCATCTTGATAAAAAAAAATAAAGAAAAAAAAAAAGCCGAGGACAAGATGTATTGAGAGCAAAATTCTATACCCAATACTATTTAATTTATTCAAAAAGGCAGAAACGGATGGAGAACTACCAGAGTCCTTCTACGAAGCCACCATCACCCTAATATCAAAACCTGGTACGGATACAATGAAGAAAAATAATTCTAGGCCCATATTTTTATTCAACGTTGATGCAGAAATTCTCATCAACATTCTCCCAAGCCACATACAACCACACATCAGAAAGATCATCTGCCATGATCAAATTGCATTCATTCAAGAGAGGCAGGGAGGATTCCATAAACACCAGTCAACAAACATCATGAATCATACGAATGGACACGACAAGAACCACACCGTCATTTCAATAACATGTATAGAGGGACTCTGACAAAATTCAACATGCATTTAGGTTCAAAGTCCTACAAGGAATTGCATCGGAGGTAACATACCTCAAGGTAATGAGAGCCATATACAATAAACCCACAGCCAACATCATTCTAAATGGAGAAAAACTGGAAGCATTCCCATTAAAATCAGGAAACAAACAGGGCTGTCCACTATCTCCACTCTTTTTTAACATAGTCATTGAAACTCTTGCAAGAGCAATAGGACAAGAGAAGGAAATTAAAGGAGTAATAATTGGAAAACTATCCCTTTTTGCAGATGATATGGTAGAATATCTAAGAGATGCCAAAAATTTCACCAGAAAACTCCTAGAAATGATTAATGATTAACACTTTCCATAAAGTGGCAGGTTACAAAATTAATCTACAAAAGTGTGTAGCCTTTCTATATACCAATAACAAGCAATCAGAGAAAGAGTACATGGAAACACTCCCTTTCACAATAGCCTCAAAAAATATTTCAAAATAAACCAACCAAAGGCATTAAAGACTCTACAATGAAAAATTTAAATATTTAAAGAAAGAGATTGAAGAAGACACCAGAAGATGAAAGGACCTCCCATGCTCATGGATTGGAAAAATTCATATTTTGGAAAATGACCTTCCTACCAAAATGCATTTATAGATTCAATGAAATGTAATCAAAATCCCCATGACATTCTTCACAGAATTCAAAAAAAAATCCCTAAAATTCATATGGAAGCACAAAAGACCTCGGGTAGTCAAAGCAACACTGAGCACAGAACAATCCTGGGTGGATTACTATACCATATTTTAACTTATATTACAGAGGTATAGTCATAAAAACAACCTGGTACTGGCACAAAAAGAAACCCATAGATCAATGGAACAAAAATTTAAGAACCCAATATGAGTACATGCAATTTCAGCCACCTGTTATTTGACAAATGGGCCAAGAACATTCACTGGAGGAAAGACAGCATGTTCAACAAATGATGCTGGCAAAACTGGATCTCCAGAAGAATGAAAATAAACCCCTATCTTTCATGTTGCACAAAAGTCAACTCCAATTAGATCAAAGACCTCAATGTGAAGCCTGAAACTGTTAGAAGAAAACATTGGCTAAAACCTACAAGATATAGGTGTAGGAAAGAATTTTCTAAACCAGACATCAATTGCTCAGGAAACTAGGTCAAGAATCAACAAATGACACCTCATTAAACTAAAAAGCTTCTGTATATCAAAAGAAAGGAAGTGAAACCAAGGAAGGAAAGAGAAAACCCACAGAATGGGAGAAAATCTTCATCAGAGATACATCTGACAGAGGTTTAACATCCAGAATATATAATGATCTCAAAAAACAAAGAATCAAGAAAAGAAGTAAGCCAATTAAAAGATGGGCTAAGGAGCTGAACAGAGAGTTCTCAAAAGAAGAAAAAAGATGGCTAAGAAGCATCTTAAAAGGTGTTCAATATCACTAGTAATTAATTAATGCAAATTAAAACCACTTTAAACTTTCGTCTTACCACTGTCAGACTGGCTAAGATCAAAAGAACAAATGATACCAAATGTTGGAGAGGACGCAGGGAAAGGGGAACACTAATACACTGCTGTTGGAATTGCAAACTTTTTCAACCCCTATGGAAAGCAGTGTGGAGAACCCTTGAAAAACTAAAAATGAACTTACCATTTTACTCAGCAATACCACTCCTTGGCACATACTCAAAGAACTAATCCTATTGCAGAGACACTTGTACATCCATGTTTGTTGCTACTCTTTTCACAATAGTTAAGAGATGGGAACAATCTAAGTGTCCCTCAACTGACAAGTGGAAAATGTGGTTCATTTATATGATTGAGTTCTACTGAGCAGTAAAGAAAGATGAAATCATGAAATTTTCAGGTAAGTGGATGGAACTGTAGAAACTGTTATAATATGTGAAGTAACACAGACTCAGAAAAACAAATGACATATGTTCTCCCTCATATGTGGATCTTAGCACCAAATCTTTATAAGTGAGTATATATCGAACCATAACTACAGGAACCAGGATAATTAAAAGGACCCAGGGAGTTAAAGGAAAAGAAAGAACCTGACAGAGAAGAACAGCAGGAAACAGGTATTATTAAGGAAGATATGGATAAAAATGGGGTTATTTAAATGGGAGGTGCAGGGAGGGTTATACAAGGAACTTTGGGCATAAATGGAAAGAAGGAGCTCAAGAGACGTGGGACCATAGGAGAAGGGTATTGTTAAGGGAGAAATGGGAAAAGTTGGAACATCTTAAATGAGCAAACCATGGTGGAAAGGTTAGACAATGAGAGAGATAAATAATGCCTAGCTAGTTTAAAAAAATAGAAGGAACCATATTAGTCCTACCTATTGACAAATTAGTCCTACCTATTGACAAATTAAACACACAACTAGCTTAAGGAACAAAATGTATGTCTAGTCAAGGTTTATATGAGAATATTTGGTTTTTGCCAAAGCTTTATCTATGTAGTGAATGGTAATTAAATGTACCAGACTAGTGGAACTACCCTTTTTATATGTTTAACAGCCATATTTGAGGCTTATTCTAATCTGGTTCAGAGGGACTTAAAGGACAGTTTTTGCTCCTTGCCCTCCAAGGTCGACTAAGTTCCAGGGACTATGGAGCATCTCTCAAAATGTTCTGTAACTGTGGCAAGTCACCTGTCCTCTTGTTCAGGGAGGTCATGGAGACCCCATCAGATGGACTTGAACCAGTGTCCAATCTACAAAGAGGAGGGTCACCAACAGAGGAAACATTTCCTCCATGCTTCCAAGTGAAGCCATCCATGGTCGAGCAGGACCATTATCTTCACATGATGGAACTGATAAAAGAAAGGAGCCAGGGGCTCCTCCCAAGCCCATATGACCCCTGAGGTACAGATTTTCAAACAACCTTAAGAGTAAAAATAAATTTGTTTGTTTCAGCCAACTGTATGGTCTTAAACACCCAAAAGGAAAGCATAACCAAAGATTAGAGTGATAAGTATATTTCTTTAAGAGTCCATATGTATAGGTAAAAGCTATATAACAAGAAACAATGCCAGACAGAAGATATTTTCCTTTGAGTTGTTGGTCAGGCTGGGCCCAAGAGACTACCAGACAGTAACCCAGCAACAGACCCCAATCTTATCTAAAGGAATGTTGGCAACCGAAATGCTGTTAAGGGAGATGAGGAAGAGCCGATCTTCCTAAACAAGGGACTCTAGATAGGCCAATCAGACTTAGTGCATGGACTTGCACTGGGGAACGGCTGGGGGCACTGACAACACAGTGGACACTAACAGGGATGGCAAAATATATGGGCTCCAGTAGGTTGGGGAAGCTTCAGGGGGGGTGCCATTTGGGATGCGGGTATAAAGAGGAATAAGATTGTTTGGGATGTTCTGTATGAAATATACACCAAAAAAATCAATAAAAATTAAATCCTTAAAAAAGAAACCATATAGAATTGGAAGAATTACATACTTCCCCTGAGTTCTAGAAAAACTTTGTTTTGCTAAATAATTGTGGATGGTTAGTTGCTTTGTGTATTTTTAGGTGTATCTAAAAATAACCACGATATACTTTCTTTGGGGAGAATAAAAGTGACAAGAGTGGTTTCAGAGCATGGCTGCCATAAGCAGTTTTTGAAGGTCATACAAAGTTCATCCATTTAGGTCAGTTTTAGAAGAGTGGCCAGAATACTTGCTCTCCAACTCAGGTACATCAAGTCAAGTACATTTGTATTTAAGTACTTACATGTTGTGATAACTGATAGCATGGACAGTAAAAATTAAATTTATTCTGGTTCCATACACCAGGACTGCCATGATGAATGGCAGGATAACCAGGTGTCTTTTTGTCTTTTCATTCTGGGTTTTATTTTCACACTAAGTTGTCGAATATTTCAAAAAAAGCTTTGTCAATGAAGTTCAAATATCAGGCTGAAAGCAAGTTGTAATTTTGATTTGAATTCAGCTTCTTACCAATACTCCAACCCAGCTGTGTTCTGGATTCGATAAAACATTAACTTTGTTCTCTATGTAAATAAAATGGTGGCTGCACAGGTGTACCCACTGTATGATGTTATGAGCAACCACAAGGTTATCAGAGTGTAATGTATAAAAAATAAACATAACAAGTGTGCTAAGGGGCACATGCATATTACCTCTGTAGATTATCCATACAGTTAGGTCTTTCAAGTAAGTTTAATACAATTATTAAATATAATGGATCCCTCACAAGGAAGCTAATTTGCTCAGGATTTCCATATGCCCCTTCATTTA